GCCCGCGAGCGAACCAAAGCGGGTCCCCAGTACAACCGCGGGGCAAGCGCCTCCTCGGAGAAAGCCGCCCAACCAGTAGGGTGCCGCGCTTCTCCCTGATTCCTGCCGCAATGGCGGGCGTCGCCACGGGAGAGGAGGGGATCGCTCCGGACCCCCCACGCACACACACCCTCCAAGCCGCGGCGGGCGCGCAGGCGCCGCCGCCAGGATGAGCTCCGGGCGGGTATTCCCCCGCGCGCAGCACATGCAACCCCGCGCACACGAAGCGCCGCAACGTCCCCCCACTTTACCGCTCCGACAAGCCTCGGCACGGGACGCAGGGCCACGCACCCAAGAAGCTGAGCGCGGCGGGCCTGTCCCGGTTCCACGCAGGGGCGCCCGTTGGCACGGCCGCACGACCGGTGCGCAGCCCACCGTGTCATGCAATCAAAAACGTCAGAGCAGGTTCCTCCGTGCGCATCCGCTCAGGGAACCAAAACACGAACGCGTGCCTCCAGCGTTGCCGCCTCCGTCCACAGAAGCCCCGGGAAAAGAAAGAAAAAAGCGGGCACGAGCTCGAAAACAGCAGCAGCAGCCCTCGACCAAACCCAACACAATCACCCATCACCCCCTCGTGGCACAGCAAACAAAAGAAGACCCACCGAGTCCACGCCTGCCCGCACGGCGCACGAAAGAACGCTGCCAGCTGCTGCTCTCCCACACCACAGCAGCGCTTGCGCGCAGCGAGGCAAGAGCGAGCGGGGAACCGGCGCAAACAAAAGTTACATGGCGCTTCACGACATCTGTAGTGCGGAGCCCACACGGCGGCGGGCGAGCAGAGTGCACAAATGTGGTGAAGCGCCATGTAACTTTTTTAGAATATTCCTAAAAAAACACACAAACAAAAAACACGCAAAGAAGCAGAAAAAAATAAACTCCATCAGTGGAAGACCACCGTCTTCGTTTGGCCTATCCGACACCCCCAACGCCCTATAAAATTTACCCCCACACGCTTAAACCCATTCGCAATATATATCCCTATAGATGCCCAAGGCGCATGCCACTACAACTGGACTGTCGTTGTGAAGTCCCGAAGTGGCGGACTTTGGGGTTCCCCACAAACACCAGAAGTCCCCGTGTGAAGTGTCATGGTTCATTTTAGGAAAAACAAAAAATAAAAATAAAAATAAATGAAAATCAAAGTGTAGCTGTAAAAATTTCAGTACCTTCCAACGCTACCGCCCTGGCAAGAAAACATCAAACTATCGAGAAAAAAAAGCAGGGCAGGCCAACAAGCGGCGGCTTCTTCCTTCGCAGCCTCGTCCTCTCGCGCACTCCCTTCACAGGCTTCTGGGCGTTGCCACAATTATTGCTTTAAGGTGAAGCCGTTGATGAACGGATCCTTTGGATCAAACAGCAGGGTGTTGAAACCCGTGATGAAAGCCTTTCCAGTGACTTCGGGCGTGACGACGAGCATACCCTTTGCGAATTCTTCTGTTGCGGGCACCTTCACTCCAGGTATTATCTCCTCGCCAAGCAGCCTGCCTTGGAAGAGGGTGCCGAGGATGCTCTCGTTCACGAACAATTCCCCAATGCGCAGCTCACCTTTGGCGTGGAGTGTTGCCATTTTGGCGCTGGTGCCTGTCCCACACGGTGAACGGTCCACCTGGCGGTTGCCAAACACCACCACGTTCTTGCAGGTTGCATCAGGGTGCGTGGGCGGGCCGTAGAATTCAACAAGGTCCACCGTGTTAATATACGGCAGCAGGGGGTGCTGAACCTTCATCGTGCGGTTGATTTCAGCCCGCAGAAGCGCCCCCGCCTCCTTCAGCTTGGCGAGATTTTCCAGTGAGATAACAAGGCCCAGCTGCTCCGCGGGAAGAATGGCAAAAAAGCTGCCTCCAAACGCAATATCAAACTTCACCTCACCATACGGATCTGGCAGCTTCAGCGTCACGTCCCGCTGGTACAGAAAGCAGGGCACGTTGACGATGCTCACATGCGACACCTCGCTCTCGCTGTCGGTCTCGAGGTGCGCCACAGTGCGTATCACCCCAGCAGGGGTGTCCAGCACCACGGGAACATGTGTTGCCTTCGGTGGCACGTGCACAAGCCCCATTTCCACCGCCGCCGTGGCTGCCGCAATGGAGTTGTGTCCACACATGTTCAAATAGTCACCGGTGTCCATGAATACGAGGCCCAGGTCTGCGCCCTCGGCAACAGGATCCAGCAGGAAGGCACCGAACATATCATCGTGACCACGTGGTTCCAGCATCACGCCGCGCCGCAAGTTGTCCATGTGCTTCCGCAGGTAGTCTTTCTTATCCGCCATAGTAGCACCCGGCACGTGTGGCAAACCACTTGTCACAATCCTGGCCGCCTCACCTGCGGTATGCATGTCGACGCACGTCAATGACTTCTTGAAGCGCATGATTGTGTTTCGGTTTGATTTTGTTTGTTTGATTTGTTTTGTTTTTGCCTGTTTGTTTTTTTCTTCTTTGTTATTGGATATGTTTGGCTTCTTCCTTAATAGGGATATACAATGAAACGCAAATGTCCACACACTCTGCGTGTTCGCAGTGGAGAGGTAAAGGGGGCGGTGGAAGGGGAGGCGAGAAAAAGGATAACGATGAGGAGGCGGCATCGGAAAATTCATTGCGCATGCAGTGCCGCAGAGAGACAGTGAGAGAGGAAGAGGAAGTTGTTTTTCTTTTTCAATGACAATCAACTGCAGTCGTCCGATTTAAGAGACACGGCACACAACAGGCGGGGTACATGCGTGGGGGGAACAAAAATGGGAGGCAATAAGAAAAAACGTGTGAGACAGGCACGCGCCCGCTCGTACACTCAACCGTAACGATTCTATAAGGCAAGAGGGGGGAAGGCGAGGCACGCATGTGCCCTGCGTTGTAAGGTGCATGCACTTGTACTTCTTGACGCTGGCGTCGCCTGCCAAATCTGGCGGTGGGGGTGGGTGGAGTGGCCGCGCAGCCACATGTGGGCCGACGCATCGCCCGTGCACATTTCCCTCCACTTTTTTTTTCGTTTTTTTCTATTCCTCTCCCTCTCTGTGTGAAGAGGCGTTACTTCTCCGGCAGAGCCGTCAAGTGATGATGTTTTTCCCCGATTTTTCATTTTTCTTTTTTTGTTAAAAAAAAAACAGTGGCGTGGGGTTCTTCGAGTTGCGCTTCGTCCGCCTGCTCTTCTGCCATCGCCGCCGCCGCGCACTCCTCCCCCGATTGCACCTTTCACGCTGCAAGTTGTGTTGTGTTGGTCCTACGTCTTTCTTTTTTTTCCCCTTTTTTTTTGTTTGTTTTTTTTTATTGTTCTTTTTTTTTTGCGGCCTCCTCGCGTTTTACGGCGCACGTCAGTCCAGCAGCTCAAACTCGTCCTCGTCGTCGGGGTCGGGCGCAGCCCGCGACTGCGGCCCGTTGGCGGCTGCCCCTGCCGGCAAGCCGGGGCCTCGCCCGCTGCAGCGCCGCACCCGCACGCAACTCCGCTTCCCCGCGTGCTTCCCCTGCGTCACCGCACGCATGAGAAACGAGACGGTGTCGCCCTGCTTCACGCCCTCGCCCTCGGCGTTGCTCAGGTGAAAGAAGACGGACTCCCCGGTGTCGTCGAGCAGGATGAAACCAAAGCGGCCCTCCACAATCTCCCGCACGGTGCCGTAGTAGCGGGCTTCATGCGCACAGTCCGCGTCGTCTGTGTGCCGCCTCTCCGCGCCGCGGTCGATGATGACGCGCCGCGCAGCCTTGCGGTCCCCATCCTCAAGGCAGAAGCGCACGTAGCGGCCGCGTCGCAACTCCACGCCCCCTCCGAGGTCCACGTCCTCGAGCCTGACGGTAAAGCGGGGGGCGTCGTCGTGCAGGCCACCGCCGAGGTCTAACTCCGCAATCACGCCGGTGCCGGCAAGCTGATCCCAGCCCTCGACGTAGCCAGAGAGCATGATGGGCGTCACAGACTTTTCCTTGCCGCTACGGACGTCGTACAGGCGAATGTGGTGGGCAACGGAAAGCTGCTTCGTCTGTTCACCGTCTACCGCTTCGCCGGAAGCCTCGGTGGAGACGGATGCCGAAGTGCCAGAGGCGGCGTCAGCGTCAGCGTCAGACTTCGCCGCCGCGAGACGCGCGCTTAGCGTTTTGCCAGGCGGCATCACGCGGACGTCAAACGACACGGTCTGCCCTTCCGTCAGATAGAACCCGCCGTCCAGCGACGAGCGCGGGAAGAAGAACATGGGCGCCGAGGCACTGCTCCCGGGTGCTGCGTCGGGGTTCGCTGGCGTGGCCGCGGCAGCCTTGCGGGTGCCTTTCTTCTTTGCCGCGGGCGGCGCCGCCTCGCTGAGAAAGCCGTAGCCGCGGCGGTGCATAAACGACACGACCGTGCCGATGCGCCGCGCCGCGGGGAGAGCAGCGGTGGGCTCCTGCGGCGTCTTGTCGGCTGTCGTCGTTGTCGTCGTCTTCGTCGTCTTCGTCGTCTTCGTCGTCTTCTTCCGCAGCAGCGGCGCTGAAGCCACGATGGCGGTCAGTCGCCACCCCGCGAGACGAAACATGAGGCGAGGGCTACGAGCGTTTGGGCTGGAGAGGGCAGAACCGCAATTTCTGGTGGGGCGCAAAGAGAGGGGGCGCCGGGCTCGGGGCGCGTGTGAGGGGCACTACAAACCCGCTGGAGCGCGAAGACCACAGAAGCCAGAGAAACGACGCACAGGCAAGCAAAACAAGCCAAGAAGAAAAAAAAAATGGGGGGAAAAAAAGGTGCGGTGGGGCGAGGGAAGAGGAACAAAAAGAAACATTCGCCTGACAGCACGCACAGCAGCGTAACTCGTGCCGTT